TGCTCTAGAGGAGGAAAAATTCAGATGTAGTGCTATAAACCTAGCCAACATCTAAGACTGGTAAAGCCAGGAAACCTAGAGGAGAACCCACTACTGCCACTTTCCTAAATTAGTATCATCTCTAACTGCATTCTAAGTACTTATCCTTACATCCACGATAAATGTAGATCTCAGTTCTCAACTATAGACTGTTGAAAGTTACAACTGGTCTAAATACAGAAAACTTGCTGTGAGGTGTCCAGCCACATTCTACAATACTACCCGAACATCTGAGACTCAGGGAACAAAGGAAGAGGAAGCAGAAAGATTGCAAGAGCCAAAAGACCAGGGCATCTACCAAGAGACTGTGTCTTTTATACAGGCCAGGGAAGCTACACCCATGAAGTCTCAACAACATGGTAACCTAAACATAGATCTGAACAATGATATTGGGTGACATGACTATGAAAAGAAGAAATCTTACAAGGCTTTACTCTTAGAGGAAGAACTACAAGCAATTAAGGGCTACCAAGAGAGGCAAAATTAGTGGTTAACAAATACCATGTGGCCCGCCTACAAGATCTCTAACCCCCACTGCAAATGGCAGCCCACAGACTAGGAAAAGATCTTCACCAATCCTACATCTGACAGAGGGCTGATCTCCAAAATACACAAAGAACTCAAGAAACTAGTTACCAAAACACCAAATATCCCTTATTAAAAAAATGGGGTAGAGAACTGAAGAAAGAATTCTCAATAGAGGAAATCAAAAAGGCTGAAAGACACTTAAGAAAGTGCCCACCATCTTTAGCTATCAGGGAAATGCAAATAAAAACAACTCTGAGATACCAGAATGGTATCTGCCAGAATGGCTAAAATTAGAAACACCAATGACCACTTATGCTGGAGAGGATGTGGAGAAAGGGGAACACTCCTCCACTGCTGGTGAGAGTGCAAACTTGTACAGCCATTCTGAGGATCAATATGGTGGTTCCTCAGGAAAATGGGAATCAGTCTACCACAGGACCTGGTAATCCCCCTCTTAGGCATATACTCAAATGATCCACATCCATGCAACAAAGACATCTGTTCAACTATTTTCATAACAGCATTATTTGTAATAGCTAGAACCTGGAAGGAACCTAGATGCCCCTCAACTGAAGAATGGATAAAGAAGATGTGGCACATTTATACAATGGAATACTACTCTGCGGGGGGGGGGGGGGGAAAAACAAAAAACAATGGAATCTTAAATTCACAGGCAAGTGAATGGAACTTGAAGAAACCATCCTGAATGAGGTAACCCAGTCACAAAAAGAGGAACATGGTATGTCATATATGGATTTTAGACCCAGAGCAAAGGATCACCAGCCTATAAATCAACTGCCAGAGAAACCAGGATACAAGGTGGATTCTAAGAGATTCACATAAGGGTCCCTCACAGAAGGGGGAAGGGACAAATTCTCCAGAGCATGTGGGGGGGTAGTGAGGGGAGAGGGAACTAGGAGAAAGAGAAGGGGAGGAGAGGAAAGCATGTGGGATTAGAAAGATTGAGTTAGGGGAAGAATAGAAGACAGAAAAGAGAGGGAGAGAGAGAAAGAGGGAGGGAAGGGAGGGAGGAAAGAAGCGAGGGAGGGACAGACAGATAAAGAGAGAGAGAGAGAGAGAGAGAGAGAGAGAGAGCATAAAAGAGGGAGCCATTATAGGTTTGAAGAGAAAACTGAACCTCAAGAAATGTCCAGAGACATACAAGACTGACTCCTACCTACCATAAATGACCTTCCCTGATAATGAGATCAACGACTAACTTATCTGCCATCATAGAGCTCTCATCTAGTAGCTGATGTAAACAGAAGCAAACACCCACAACTAAACACTGAGCCGAACTGGAATCCAGATGCAGAAAGGGAGGACAAGACCAAGCTACAGAAACACATAGAAACAGCTGACCTAAACAAGGAGGAACTAATGAGCCCCCCAGATCGATAGCTGGGAATCCAGCATGGTACTGACTCAGACCCCCTTGAACATGGGTCTCAGCTAGAAGGCCTGGGCAGTCTAAGGGACCTAGGACAGTGGAACCAGGATGTATCCCTGGTGCACAAAAGGACCTTGGGAGCACATCCCTCATGGAGGGATACTCCCTTTTATCTAGAGACAGGAGAGAAGGCCTAATCCCTACTCCAAATGACTTGACAGATTTAGATGACCCCTCTTGGAAGGCATCACCCTACATGTGGAGTGGGAGGGGGGATGGGAGAGGAGGGTGGTCAGGGGGCATGAGAGGGTGGGAGAGAGGGAAAAAGGGAGGCAGGGAGGGAGGGAGAGGGAACTGGGATCGGTATGTAAAATAAAAAAAATACTTTGCTTTAGAATGGAGTTTCATTTATTGATACAAATTTAAGGTCAGTTTCATGATATGTATATTACTCTTCTTGTTTAGGTATTATGTTTATATAACTCATTTAAAAATGCATAATTTAGTACAGATTATATATAGTTACCTATGATAGTCAAAACTTACAGTTAAGTTAATTAGGTTTTCAAGATATACAAAGATGTATTTGAGATTAATAGACATTCTTCAAACCTTTCAAGGACCCACAGAATATGGCATTTAAAATGGTTTAGGGTTATTCTTGACAGTGAAACATAAGTGCTCCTGGCTATACGACCTACATCAGATAGGAAGATGGACATCGAAGAGACTCGTTATAACGTTTACTTCTAATATGGCAAGACTATCCATTTGGAAAAGATACTGCTCTTGTCTGGACTGTTTTACTTTATGCTATATAAACTGGACATGCAGGACCCACAGGAAAATGACTACTGATATAAGATGGACATTGCTACAGGATTCCTGCTCCATGCAGGACACAGAGAAAAGTGACTGACAAAGTGCCAACATGGGTGGGACATTTTAAAATTTCTTGCTTTGCTGAGAAGTCTGCCATACACATTATGGTCTATAGGCCAAAGATGGAACATTACAGAAAAACTTCAGGTGACCAATCAGGTGGCAAGATGTCTCTGTCATTTCTAGAGTTTATATATTATCCTTCTGTAGTCTTCGATGGAGTTGAAGACGGATAGTTATGGTTATAGTTTTCCTTAGTTAGGATTAAAGATAAATTACATATAGGACTTAAGACTCAAAAAGATAGATGATGGAATATTTTCTTTAAATCTTTCTAAATGTTAATGAACTAAATATTGTTAACTGTGGTTCTTATTTGATAACTTTTGTTATATATTTTGCTATGTTAAGGTTAAAATCCTTAGACAGAAAAGAGGAGATGATGGGAGATGTCATTTTGCAAATATGTTTCTCATATTGGTTAATGAATAAAGCACTACTGGACAATATGGAAGCAAGATAGGTGGGATGAGGAGACAAGGAGGTTTTAGGGAGGGGTAGTAGAGATTCAACATGTAGGATGGAGAGAAACCAGAAGTCCAGGCCCTCTCTCCGGTAAGATAAGACTACATGGAAATACTTAGATTGATAGAAATGGGTTAATATTTAAGACAGAGCTAGCTAGTAAGAAATACTAGTAACAGGCTAACAACTTTATATATACATATACATATACATACATACATACATACATACATACATACATACAAAAACAAAACTGCAACTCTGCAATACTGATGAGTTGGCCTAGGATCTTCTAGCTTATTAGTGGTAGAAAACACACCACACCCGAGTTATCTCTGACTCAAAGCTGGCATTATTTGTATACCATTAGATTACCCATGAAAAGACTTGGGATCTTCATTTCATCTGGAAGGGAAGGAACATGAGAGGGACTAGAACAAATTATGACTGGTTTGTGTATGAATTACAGACCTTTAACCCCTTAGTGCCATGCCATGGAAAATAGCCCCTAGTTCTGGGGTTGGAGAACAGACCCAAGAGCAAAACCAGGTACCATTGGGACATCACTTCATTGTGGCTTAATTATAGTAACACATGGAACCCCACCTCTGCTACATCAGTCATATACAATATTCAAATCCATGTAACATCATCTCATTGCCTCTCCTACTTCTGTATAGACATTAAAGAGTCATTATGTGATCTTGCTTTTTGATTTAAATGTCATCATTCTCTTAAATTTGAGAAAATGTATCTGCTTGTCAAAAATATGTTCTCACTAAAAGGAACTGTAGTATTTCATATGTGAATATGCTATAGAAGGATGGGGGTTTTTTGCTTGTTTTGCTTTATGCTTTTTTTTTCCCTTTGAGATAGGGTTTCTTTGTGTAGCCTTGGCTATACTGGAACTAGCTCTGTAGACCAGGCTAGCCTTGAACTCAGAGATCTGCCTTCTTATGCCTTCAGAGTGCTGGGATTAAAGGCCTGTGCTACCATGCCTTGCTGGTAGGGTATTTTTATGTGTGTTTATGTCACTTTACAGGTAGAATCAGGGTGCTGTCATCATGACTATTGTTAAACATATATTTTCATGTTTAGAGGATAAGTTTTAGAAAAGATTGCAAATAAATCTGATGTATCTAGAAGAGATTTTAGGCTTGAAAGTAGAGTCAGGGAAACTACTTACCTTAAGTCACCTATGTGTATTTTATGGTACATAATTAAATTTTCTAAATTACTGCTTAAAAAAAAAATACCATGTGGTCAGCCCTAAAATACATATGAGAGTGGCACTAAATGGACTCAGTAGGTTTGTTATACAATACACACACACACACACACACACACGTGTATGTATATATATACATATGTATGTATATATATATATTTAAACACATATATGCATATACATATATTAGGTAGAGAAAAGGAAGAGAAAGATTCTTTTATTGCAATTCATAGGTAAGAAAGTTCCAGAGGAAGTTAAATAACTTGTTTAAAGTCACAGTTAATGAATTTAATTGTCAACAGAAATTCAAGCCCAGGAGTATGGATGCTAAACCACTGTACTGTGTATCAAAGAACAAAAATAAAAGTTACATAAAGCAACAGAAGATGAATTGGCTAATTTATTTACCTTTCATTTTCAGTGATGACAGTTTCAAGTTGTAGTTTCATCTCACCCATGTGTTTCTATAAGAATAAAACACAACAAAGTAATACATTCTCCTGACAATTAGATCTTCATTTAGTACTCAATTCACAAGCAAACAGTCAGAACTTTTGGCATTTACAGATAAAATGTATTCATTTCATTTAACAAGCAGTATCATATGTAGATAGTTTAACAATGAAACAAACATAATAAAACACTTATTTTGAATAGATTATAAATATTTTATGTAATAACTGAGAAATATTTAAAAATATGTATCCAAGAAAACAAAAGATACACTTCAGTATAATAAAAATACCAGATGAGTTGGGCTTGGTGGTGTATGCCTTCAATCCCAGCACAGAGAGACAGAGACAGGTAAATATCTGTGAGTTTGAGGCTAGCCTGGTCTACAAAGTGAGTTCCAGGACAGCCGGTGCTGTTACATAGAGAAACCCTGTCTCAGAAAATAAAGAAGCCAAACCAAACAAAAACCCAAAAAAACCAGTTGACTGCTATACCTTGAAAAGTTATCTTTTAATTTATCAATTTAGGGGAAGCCCATCAGTATGTATATTCTCTCCTACTTCAAGAGGTAAAATGGGAATGGTGAAAAAGAAAATTAAGGTCTTCTTTAGCAATTACTCACTCACTCTCTATGTTACCACCCTCAGTAATTACCTGAACTCTGTTTGACATATTTAGCTGGCTAGATGACTTAAGAACCCACCAACTAAAATGCAATCAAGATTATAATCCATACTGTAAAGAGAATGAAATAAAAGTTTATGGATTTTCTCTGAGGTAATGGAAGATATTATTACCATTTCAAAGGGGAAGGAAGAAGGAATTTAATAAAAGCAAAATAGCAAAATAAGGAGTCAGTTTTCAATAAGAGCTGGTCATAGAAATACATGTTTAAAACAAAGGTGCACTCAGATCAAAATCCACCCATCAGTCTTGAATGAGCACTCTAGGGTAAAGGAGAAGAGCCAAGCCTTGAGCAGACCTGGCAAGAGATGTGTGAATAGGCAGCTCTCCAAGTCTGTCTCTCTCCTATTCATAGAGGCTTGCAGCAGCTTGGCTTAAGAAATTACTAACCACCTTTTAATACAAAATTGGCATCAATGTTGAATTTTTCCCAAGTTCTGGTTATGCCAGAATTTTAGTCAACTAAAATTAATTAATGTACTACCAGATAACTGAGTATTGATCATATTTGCAAAAACACTGACTTGAAAAGTATCTAATACTGTAAATGATTACATAAAATATATGTGTATTATATACATTGCATTAAGGACTTTACTATAAATATTTAATTATTTGGAAGGAACGAAAATCTATATAGTACTTTTATATCATCTAAATTTCCCTACTATACTTTTTTTGGGGGTGAGGGTAGGAATCTACACATAAAATTACAGCATGCTTTTCCTGCTTTGAAGGTATACTATTTCTTGGTCATGTCTATAAATATTCTTTTTTCTTTTAATGTGTTAGATTATTTTTTGTTTTTGAGAGTCTCTCTATGTAGTCCTGCCTGCCCTGAAACTCTCTATGTAACTCAGGCTAGCCTAGAACTCACAGAAATCCACTTGCTTCTGCCTCCTGAGTGTTGGGACCAAAGGCACTTATCACTATGCCCAAATACCTCTGTAATTCTTAAAATTAGCTCTACTTATTAATTATATCTATGTGGGCATAGATATACTATTCTCTGAAGTAGACATTAACATTATTTTTTCCTTTCTAAACAATGTAACACTATTACTATCATTGAAGACTTCTGGGTACTAGGGAAGCTTCTTCCTATAACTAAGTCAGTAATCACCCATACACAGGTGGTTACAAAAACCAAATGAGTCATTTAAGACAATCACTTCAGAAACACAGCTCAATAAAAGAGACACAGGATCAGATAGGTTATAAGAGGGTTTTAAGAGAGTTTAACTTCCAGACAATTAGCTTTTCTGAAACAAGTGAAGAATACAATATATCACCACAGCAATTCATAAAGTGAATTCAGTAGAAATTTTAGATTTGCTAGTCTTAAAACTAAGAGCAAAACACCATTTACACAAAAAGAACTTTTGTACTTTAATTACCTATCTAAAGGAAAAAAGGCATTCTTGTGGTTGGTTTAAATTTAAATGGCCAAAGGCTAAAATAATACACCATAAAGAATGGGAAATGAATTAACTTAAGAATTGTCTTATGATAATACAGAATCTGGCTCTACAACTTCACTTTATAAGGTTATAGAGGAATAAACTTGGAAATGAAAAGTCTACATAAACATTATGCAAAGAAAATATCTAATTTTATTCTTATGAGTTGTAAGCATTGTGTTCTCTTAGTAAAGGTATATGTCAACCTATTAAATTAAAAAATTAATACTGTAAAAATCATTAATTTAGCTCTAACTCTCTTGTTTCCATAAGCCCTGGAATTTACCAGATATCCAAAGGCCTATACTAAGGTTGTGTATAAAATGCCTCCCACTTGGAAAACTTATGTTCAGAGGTGGGACTTTGAGAAGGTTGCATCATAAGGGCTCTAACTGCATCAACAAATTAATCCAAAGCTTAATGGACAATTCAGTGCTACATCCTAGTTTTGAACACACAGGTCACCAGGGGTATGCCTTCCAAAGGTTTATTTTATAACACCCCTTCTTTTCTCTGCTTCCTAGACACCATGAAGTGAGCAGCCTTCTTCGTGATGTTATCCAGCTACCATGATATTCTGTCTCTTCTCAGGACTGAGGTAATAGAGCCAAGTATCCTGGACTGAAACCATTTTCAAATATCCACCTTTCCTCTAAGTTTTTTGTAAGAGAGAAAGCCATCAAAGCTTACTATGTGCTACACTTTAAAACACAGCATTTCTTTCTGTCCATGCATTAAGAGAAAAGACAATGGGGCTAGTAGACTCTGCCCCATAGTAGCACTCTGAGAAAATCAGTCTCCGGGGGTTATTTTTATACAAAGTCATTATGCTTTTTCACATTTGCATCAAATTAACTCTGCTTTCTTTACCATTAGTGAGTTGATTCAGGGTCTAGTATCTAAGCCAAATACAATCATTGGCACATTCAAGCTCTAACAAAGAGCAGCCACTGTCAGCTGGTGGACTTAGCCTGAGACACAGAAGTTCTGATTAAGAAATAATTCTAAATATTTAATCTGCCATTTGTATTTCTTTTGTTTGTGAATTGTCCATTATTTGATTGACAGCTTTGTTTTTAGTGTTTAATTTTTACAATTTATACATTCTAGAAGGAGGCAGCAGCAGCAACTTTAAGAGAAGACAGTAGGGAAAAACAACAACAAAAATAGAAAAGGAAACACTAGACCCAAGGGGTATAGGGTATTCTCATATATGGGAATCCATTCTATCTTACCATGAGTTCAGAAAGCTCAAATCACTCCTATTGTCCTTAACACATTCGCTTACCAGCTACAAAATGCCCGGGCCTACCTAAATAACAATAGACTTGGGCCCAGATGGGTTTACACTCACCCTGAGGGCAGAGAATACGTGCAGTTATGAATTAAGGGAAGTAATTGTTATTTGCCCTTTATACATAATAATAGAAGTCTTTTGCCATTGTCCCTGCCTTTGGTTGATTACTTAAGTTGGTGTATGAAATAAACTGGGGGCATTCAGTATAGATTGAATCTGCCCTCCTGATGTCATATTATGTCTCTGTCCTCCTTTCATCATTGATAGCTAGCCTTTCCCTCATCCACATTGACTCAGAAATTGACCCGGGGCTGCTCGACTGGTTCCAATTGCATCCCCCCAAATTCCAGTTTTCCACAGAAAAGGAGTTAAAGAAAAGTACAAGTACACATGAAAGGGAAATTAGGAACTAGGAAACCCCCTATGGAAACCTATTACTTTGTAAGCTAGTTTTAAAAATAAGAAGTCTTTTAAAGATGAAATATTTATATTGTTATCTGGGCACAAAAGGAAACTGAAGATAATGTCTAAACATACACATCTACATTAGCAAAGCAGCACAAAAGCTTAGTGGTTATAACTTTTACCTGGTAATAGGTCAGTTGTCTGCTTAGTTCTTCCAGATGTTTCTCATACTCAACAATAAGAGGAGGCAAAGAACTAAAGGAAAACACAGAATTAAAAGACAGTGTATTCAGTTCCATTTTATTTAATTATCTAACGAGTAATTAAATCCAAAAATAAAAATTGTGGTTAGTAGGAATCAATAGTTTGTGTTTCACACCCAAAAGATGCACATCCATGCAACAAAGACATCTATTCAACTATGTTCACAGCAGCATTATTTGTAACAGCCAGAACCTGGAAGCAACCTAGATGTCATTCAACTAAAGAATGGATGGAGAAAATGTGACATATTTACACAATGGAATACTACTCAGCATAAAAAAAAAAAAAAAATGGAATCTTGATATTCTCAGGCGAATGGATGGAACTAGAAGAAAATATCCTGAGTGAGGTAACCTGGTCACAAAAAGACAAACACGGTATGTACTCACTCACTCGTATATAGTTTTTAGACATACAGCAAAGGATTACCAGCTTACAATTCACACAGCCAAAAAAAGGTAAGAAACAAGGAGGACCCTAAGAGAGGTATACATGGGCCCATGGTGAAGAGGAAAAGGACAAGATTTCCCAAGCAAATTGGGAGCATGGGGGGGGGGAGGGAGGTACAGAGGGAGTTAGGGGGAAGAGAGGTGGGAATGAGGAAACAGGAAGATTGAATCAGGAGATGAATAGAAAAGAGCAAGAAAAGAGATACCATAATAGAGGGAGACATTATAGGTTTTAAGAGAAATATGGCACTAGGGAAATGTCCAGAGATCTACAAGGATGACCCCAACTAATAATCTAAGCCCTTTCCCGATGAGATTGATGACTACCTTATATGCCATCCTAGAACCTTCATCTAGTAGCTGATGGAAGCAGAAGCAGACACCCACAGCTAAACACTGACCTGAACTCTTGGAATCCAGTTGCAGACAGGGAGGAGTGATGAGCAAAGAGGTCAAGATCAGGCTGAAGAAACCCACAGAAACTGCTGACTTGAACAAGGGGGAGCTCATGGACTCCAGTTTGATAGATGGGAAACTAGCATAGGACCAATCCAGATTCCCTAAATGTGGATGTTAGTTAGGAGGACTGGGCAGTCTATGGGGACTCTTGTAGTGGATCAGTATTTATCCCTAGTATATGAATGGACTTTGGGAACCCATTCCACATAGAGGGATACTCTCTCAGCCTAGACACATTGGGGAGGGCCTGGGCCCTGCTCCAAATGATATGACAGACTTTGAAGACTTCACATAGAAGGCCTCACCCTCCCTGGGGAGCAGAAAGGGGATGGGAAAGGGGTTGGTGGAGGGAACAGGGGAGGATGCAGTGTGTGGGAACTGTGATCGATATGTAAAACAAGCTTGTTTCAAATTTAAATAAAAAATTATATAAAAATAGTTTGTGTTTTTCTTAAACCCTTAGCTCAAGTAATATTTTAGACTGTAACCTTCTTGGTTGTGTGGAAGAGGCAGGAGAGGAGAGGGATTATTGAGCACTGAAGGATGACAAACAGCTTCTTTGGCTTCTACCTGGCAAAGCCTCTCTTTCCACAGGGTTTACTTATAAACAAAGCAAAGATGCTCCCAGATATTACCAAATATCCTGGAGGCAGACAAGATCATCCTCCATTATAATCCACTTGTATAGATTGCACCAATATTTTTATGAACTCAGTAGCATATCATTAATACTTGATTACTGCAGGCCATAAAATAAACATTCCTAAACTAAAGGAACTCTTTCAATGATCAAGAAATTTAAAAAAATAATATGTAAATGGTAATACTTTACCTTTGTTCATCTGCGGAGTTTACTAGTACATCACCTCTTCCTCCTTTAGACATGCTGTTCTGTAACAGAAAATGGTCTTTTAAAAATGTTTTATCACAGTATTCTAGCTAAAATTGAAACAGGCTTAAAATTAAACATCATTAAAATTTTTATAACTTTATAAAATTTATCAAAAGAAGGAAGAAAAGAAATACTGATTTGCCCTTGGTAAATTTAACCATAAAGGATAAAACTGGCCAATAAAAACTATGAAGAATTTTCTATTTGATGATCTTTATCTATCTACCATCAATACTAATTATCATTATTTCTGGTGAACAAGGGAAGCTTACGTTAAGTTCAATAACAATACAAGGCTGCTTACTGTTCAGAGAGAGAATATGGTTCACTTCCTGTAGACAGAGGTAGGTGACTTGATTGCCACTCTAACATGGTGTTGTCTCGGCCTGGGCAGGAGCCCATGCCTAAGTTCATGGCTCTGATACAGCTATGGTCTGTTGATGTCTGAGGTCCTTCATATCACCAAAGGCCAAAAGGATAGGACTGTACAGAGTTGGCCCCGCCCCTCACTGGCTGTAACACTAAGGAGAACTAGTCCTGCCCCTTACCAACTGAAGCACTCAGGAGAGAGAGCCAACACCTCACCTGGTGTAGGTGTGGGAGAACCTATCCTGAGGATGTGAAAGTGGGAGAACTGACCTCACCTCACCCTTTGATCATCGCTGCAAGGGGTGAACTAGCCAGAACAATGCTGGCAACCTCAGCTTGGTGGTGAAGACAGAGGAGAGCTGGCAGGCTGACCAACCCTACAACCACTTAGGTCTAGAACCAGGGTTAAGTGTTGGCCCACCCCAACATCTACCCCATCTGTGATGTGCTGGACATGGGGAAGGGGATGTCAGAGTCCTGTGGACCTAAGGCTGCAGCATCTCTATGACAGAAACAGGATGTGCAGGAAGAGTCTCAGTAGGGGCCCAGCATCAATGGTGCAGCAGAGACCAGGGGCTCCAACCAGACCAATGATTTCTGTGATGAACACCTGCATGTAAAAATGTATGAATAAAGGGGTTTACTATGTGACTCACTGAGTCACATTGAAGTTTCCATGATGACATTTTCCCTTTCTTCCTTTTTCTTCTCTTTTCCCCCATATTTTTATCTTAAATTTTGTTTTATTGAGGAGGGGGTTGCAGAGGCAGAGATGGGTGGGATCAGGATGCATGATATAAAAGACACAAAGAATAAAAAATGTTTAAAAACTTTATAGAGAATGGCCAGACAAAGCAATGTGAGACATAAGAAAAACCTACACACACACACACACACACACACACACACACACACACACACACACACACACACGTTTCATTAGCCAAGGATCCCTCTGTGCCCCTTTTAGCCACACTACCTTTCCATTACCCTTCCTTTTCCCCAAACCCAGGCAACCACTAGTTATACATGCATATATTTTTCCTCATTTTAAAAAGACTACTAATGTGAATATAATCTCTTCGGATTGGCTTTTACCCCTCAGTACAATATCCTGGATACTTGGGAACACATTTTATTCTGTACCTTAGGTTGGCCTCAAACTCACTCTATCCTCTTGAGTGCTGGATTACAGGTTTAAGCCATACTGAGCTAACTTACCACCTCTATTGTTCAACAATAATATATCACAAGTACAAACTACACACTTGAGACTTTTAAGTAAGTGTTTCTAATTTAACCACTTTCCTATAGACAGTGTCTGTATTATAAGTAAAACTGTTATAAACACTTCTATATAGGTTTGTGTAAACATGTTTGTGAGTGTGCGGATGCACATGTGTGTGAACATAAGTTATCATTCACTTGCATTAGAAGCTCAGGAGCACAAATGCTGAGTCTAATGGCTATTGCATGTTTTCTGTTTAAATAAGTTATTGAATGACTTTCCAGCATTTATACTCCCACCAACCATGCATGGCTGCAACAGTCCATATCCATCACTACAACAGAATTTCAGAGGTTGTATAATGTCTGAAGAAAGAAGGTCCAACTGGCTCACACTTCTTAAGATTCAAGAGCATAATACCAGCTTCTGCTGTGCTCTGGCAAGTACCTTCCTAGCTTCACTACAACATGGCTGATGGCATCATGGAAGCTCATGCAAAGGGGAAAGATCATACTGTGAGACAGGAAGCCTAAGAGTGTTTCAGAGATTAGGGTTCCTCTTTTGTAACAACTCTCCTAAGACCAACTAACTAATTTCTAGAGTTTAGCATGAATCCCTTCTGAGAGTCATGCCCCTAAAGACCTGGCCACTTCCCATGTGGTTCTACCTCTTCTGAACTTTGTCATAGCAATGACCAAACCTCCAATATAATAAACTTTGGGGGGAAAGAAACCACGAAATAGCATTTGACATTGCCGCTGTTCTATTTTTAACTATCGTGTGAAATATATGATGACACCTCATTGTGTTTTTAAATTTTACTTATTGACAGTGTGAGGCTGAATAATGAACATATATTACATCCAAATCATAAAACATTATTCTTAATGGCAGATAGAATGCATATATTATTAGACCTCCAGAATTTATGGTCTTACTATTCAGTTTGTACTTGAACCAATTTTTTGTTCTTCCCACATTCTTGCTACGAGGACTATAGTCTACCTTTTGTATAATGCAGCTAATTGTAACAGGCTAAATTGCAAGTAAGGATGGCTTCTTCTGAGAATCTTCTAACTAGGAGACCAGCTTACATGACCCTATATACAAGGACCTAAATAAGAGGTAACCAAGAATGACTGCAGCTAACTCTTGGTGCTTGTGATAGCATTAACTTCTGCCATGGTAAAGCTATAAACTGATCATGTACATCTGAGAAAAAAAGATAACACAGTTTAACTAACAGCCAGCAAGATACTTGCAAGGTCTATGATGACTATGTTAGCCAGTACCAAATATAATAAGCAGTAAAGTTCAGCAGCTAGCAAATCTCAAGTCAGAGATGGGGTCAGGGGTGTTCCACTACCCTTAGTGAGTGGACAGCACACGGACAACATATAATCATCTTATGTGTTGGACCAGTGGCACATGTAGAATAGAGCCTCCACTGGCTTGGCCTGTGAGTGAGCAGATAATTAAATAATCTCATAGCAGTTATCTTAGTCCAGTTTCTGCCACAGCTCTATAAAAAACCCTAGACAAGAAAAGTCAATGGCTTCCTCTCCTCTTTCCCTCCCTCTCTCCTTTTCAACTTCATGGGTTATTTTTTCCCCCTTCCTTTACTTTTAACCTTTTAAGCCACAGTGACACTCTTATGAATAGCATTCACTTGCTTTGTGTCTTATGACTAGAGGATTACTTCAAGTAATTACTATCAATACTTACTACTAATGCAATCTTGCTATTTTCTGTTTGAAGTTCCTTTTCTCTCACCTTTGCTTTCTTTCACTATGATTGATGACTTCTATAAATAGCATGTTTTGATTCTTTTCTCTGTCATTTGTTCTAAATGCTTTGGCTTTGTATGGAGCATGAGGCATACATAAAACATTTCAAACTTGTAATAGAGGAAGCTGTTTATAACTGAACTTTTGGAATGATGTACAAAAACTTTATATTGTTATTCTCTCCCATACAATTAAAGTTTCCAGGTTACAAACTTGTTTTTTTATGTGTTCTTTAGGAAGTGATTGTAGTTAAAGCTACTTTTAGCACTTCTGCCTTTTAACTTCTATACAAGAATTAAAAGTGACCTAAATGTCATAGTGGCAATAACAGAATATTCATGTATGTAAACTTTACTTTCATAATTCAACATGGTAACAGTCAGTGCTATTTTATTTTAGCTTAATGAACTGTTTTTTTTTTTTTTTTTTTTTTTTTTTTTTTTATTTGCTGCAGTTTGAGGGTTAGAAGTCTCTCAGCTATACTTTTGTTTGCTTTTGGTTTTTGAGACAGGGTTTCTCTGTATTGCTTTGGAGCCTGTCTTGGAACTAGCTCTGTAGACCAGGCTGGCCTTGAACTCACACAGATCTGCCTGCCTCTGCCTCATGAGTACTGGGATTAAAGGTGTGCACCACTAATGCCCAGCTATTCTTTATCTCTTTTATTTCTAATAGACAGTTTTGACAGGTGAATGCTAGATTGACAGTTTTGTTCTGTACTTGAAATACACTATTCCACTCTTAAGGTTTCTGCTAACAAATTCACTGACAAACTTTTGAAATTTAATTTGTAAATGGTGAGTCACTGTCTAATGTTGCTATTTTTAAAATTTTCTGAACACAGAACTTCTGAACACTCAATTACAACATGTCTTAGATAAACCATTTTTGGGTTGAACCTATTTTGGAAACATGATTCTGGATGTCTAGATTTCTCCCAAGAGTTTTATAAGTTTACATTATTTCTTTTTTTAAATAATTTTTTAAAATTTAAATTTGAAACAAGCTTGTCTTACATGTCAATACCAGTTCTCTCACCCTCCCCTCCACCCCTGTCCCCCCACCACCCTCTATCCTATCCCTGTTCTGCTCCCCAGGGAGGGTGAGGGAAATCTTTAAAGTCTGTCACATCATTTGGAGTAGGTCCTACATCCTCCCCCAATGTGTCAAGGCTGAGGGAGTATCCCTTTATGTGGAATGGGCTCCCAAAGTCCATTCGTATACTAGGGATAAATACTGATTCACTACCTGAGGCCCCATAGACAGTTTTCATTATTTCTTTAAGTAGCTTTTGCAATTCTTTTTATCTTCCTACTGAGACTCTCAGAAATTTGCAAATTATTATTTTTCGGTTGTGTTCCATAAATAGGTTTCTTAAATTCCTTTGAAAAGATAATTTCAGATGTTTTCAAGGGTACAGATTACTTCTGTTTCAAGTCTGATGTTGAGGATCTATTACATTTTAAAAATTCAAAACTTTCCATCTGTCTTATCATATTGTTACCTTTTGTTACAGCTCCTTCTCCTAAGATTACTGAGGTCCCTATTGGTATGTTCCTGCTGCTTACTGAGACCACTCACTACAATATCACTCCACCCATAGGAGAAATCAGGCTGCCTTGAGAGAGGGCTGATGTGGTAAGATGAAACAGCTTTACAATCACAGATGCCTTTAATCTCCAATTTCATTTCATTTAGTTTTACTTTGTCTTACAGTATGTTGTAACTTCTCTATTGGATTCTTGGACTTTAAAAAGGGACTTAATATTATCTGTGGATGGTTATAAAAACATATGTAATATAGAGAGATGATGGTATAAAATTCCTATCTATTATTTGCTAATGACTTACTAGACAGATTTCTTTGAACTTCAGAGCCTCCAGTTTGTTTATCCATGGAGGATGGATGACCTTGGAGAGCCGGCAAGTAGAAGATCACTAAGTTTCACACTGAAGAGGGAGACTAGAAGGAACACAGCACTCTCTGGCTCTCATATCCTGCCCAGCAGTAAAACAGTGTGTAGAAAGGAAGCTGAGGCAGTATAGTAAACTGCTGAACCTGAGTTCAAGACTCTCAATACTACAGGTAGCAAGCCAGAGGCAGCAGTGAGATAGCTTCAGAGGCCAAGTAATCTGATATCCATGTATTTTGTAATCCACTGACAACTTGCCATGGAGGCTTGGGGGTATCTTTCACTATGCCTTCATAGCCTGAGCTCTGTGCTCCTTAAATTTCTTACCACATCTATGTCTGCCTGTTCCCCATGCCTTAGTCCCTGCTACTTCGCCTGTCCACAATCTTCTGCCAGGCTCTGTGTCCTCAAACTTCATGACTTATGACTGCTCGTTATCTTTGCATGTTTAGAATGCTCCATCTTAAACAATAGCCTTTTCTCAAGGTAGAGACTGTCTTTAGTGCTCTTTGATAATAAGAGCACTGCAACTGCTCTCTTCTCCAATGGTAGGCTACCACACAGGAGGAAACTGTCACACCAAATACCACAATGGATTTAAAGTTCTCAAGAACTGTGGGTTCCCCCTGTGGATAGACTGCCAGTGGGAGATCCTGCATACCTTTTGTTTGGAGCCCCAGCCCCTCCACCCTCACCAACCACTCCACTTCTGGTTCCAGGGCTGAATCTGCATACTGTGTTCTACTTTTGTCCATGCTTGTTAGCTGTTACAAGGATAACAAATCCCAAAGGGATGAAATACACATGGTCAGGGGTATGCTAGGAGGAGATCAATGCCCATTTTGTGTCATATTACCCCTTCTCTCTCTACTGCAAGAGTACACAGTGAAAAGCAAGACATGATAATGAAAGTCTGGGAGATATGGAGAACTACACAGGAGTTAGGAGACAGAAACAATATTCTGCCATGAAGATTAAGAATAGGAATCAAGATGTACTTTATGACTATAAAACTGTACAGGTAGAAAAGATCTTACACCTGCTAAGAATTAGAGCTGCTATAGTTTTGTAATGGTAAGGGAAGATGTTTTGCTACCTTGAGGTTTCCAATGATTATAATCACAGTGCAGAATACAGACACTTCTCATGGTTGTCTTGCAGCCACTGCTGTGTCACTAGTAAAAACACAGTCACTATTAAGCCAGCTCTAGCCTCCAGCTATATGTGATAGCACATCCAGAGAGGTTCCAGGGCTCCAAAATATCTGTCTTTTGCTGCTGCTACTGCTTAAACAAGCCTTCAGACCTATGCTATAAGATATTTACCAGATTAAGTTCACCTTGTTGATAAAATCTGAAATTAAAGTTTAAAAAAAAATCGCCTCAGGAAATCAACATTAAAATATCAATGCATACATTATTATAATCTGCATTAGTTTATGTTTCAGTCATAATTTCTAGGTTTTTTAATTGGGAAGACAGGAATCAAACTCAGGGCCTTACCCATTCAGGAAACTTAATCAATATTCCTAGATTTTTCAATAATATCATTAACTTGTAATAATTGAAATAGTTATACAGCTAACCACATCTTGAGAAATCACTTTAATATGTTTCAAAACATGAATGAATTCCCATTTCAGTCCTCAATTACTTTAACATATATAGCATTAGCTCCAAAGATAGGGGAAAAAAAGCAATTTCTATGGACAGAGAATTTACTCTCAGTTAGCAAAATCAAATTTTCCCTTATAAGAATCAAAGCTAAAAGCAAAATTTCAAAGGTAATAGGCAATTTCAAATGTGAATAATTCTAAGTAGAATTTATATTGAGGATTTGTACTGACTGTAATTAATAATTCATAAGAATGTAGATATATTTACAACCAAATTTCAATTTAGTTTATTATACTTAAATCATTCCACATACCTGTATAGTTAGGTGTTTGAAAATATGTTCAAATTGATGCTGCCTAGGAATATCATTTAGTTTGTCATCTGAAACAAAGAAAACCAATTTTGTAAAAACTAGAAAAATAGCAGCTACTATCTGATGTATCCAATGAAAGATTTCTAGTCTGTAAGATTGCTTCTCATAAGATTAATCATCAATTTCAGCACATCATTTTAGAATGTAAAATTAGGTCTTTTAATATTCATAAGCCAAATAATGACTCCCAAATGGAATACGGAACAGCTACAAAGAAGTAATCTTTTCTTTCATAAGTTTGAATTATCAGTCTTTTCTGGCAGAGGTGGAAAAATATCCCCACTGTTTTTTCTTTCCACTTCCACCACTAAAAAGGATTAGGAAGATATGCATCATATTCTTTCTTCCTTATTTCCTTTTTTTTCTATTTTGAAGATAGGGCTTCACTCAGGCTAATCTAGAATTCATATGCAGTCCAGGCTGGCCTGACTCACTGGAATCTTCCTGTCTTTGACTTCTGGATGCTAGGACTACAGGCATGAGCCACCACCATACTTAGCTGTGGACCAATTCTTTGGAATTCTTAAAGTCAGCTAAAACGGTTATCCATTCCATACTGAGGAGAAATTGTAGGACACAGAATCCAATTTCAAGGGGAATGCTATAAGACCATGAAAAAGATGGTCCAGAATAAAGCTAAGAGTTCCCACTAATATGCCACATCTGTATTCACATCAGAAAAGAGACAGGGAAAGCAAGATGGCTCAGAAGATAAAGACACCTGTCATCAAGCTAGAGGATATGAGTTCAATGTCCAGAACCACTCCCTCATATTGTGTTCTGGCTTCCGTATGCATTCTGCACAAGCGTATACACACACACACACACACACACACACACACACACACACACACTGGCTTCTGTATGCATTCTGCACGCACGTACACACACACACACACACACACACACACACACACACACACACACACACACACCAAAAACCCAAAGAACTACACTATAAACATCCCACCTAAGGGGAAAAGTATTGATAACCTTTCCCTTCAGGCTAACACAAAAATAAATTCTTATGACATTTATTCAGCACTCTAGTGGAAAGTCCACGTTAAGTAATAGAACACTGAAGCAGTTAAATAGAGGTGTGAAAATTCAAAGAAAAGAAACTCAGTTACATGTGTGTTAACTACTCAAGAAAACACAAAGAAAATCAGGAAGTAAATTTAATAATGTTATTAGTTACAAGGCCAAAATGCAAAAAATTAATCATTTGTATATACTGATGCCACAAATTTTAAATAATGAAAGTCATTTCCAGTATCATTAAAAATAAATCTCACAAAAGGAATATAAAATTCCTATACAAAACACTTTTGCACTTGATAAATTAATCAGTAGAAATTAAAGGTCTAAAGAAGTGAAGAGAGAATTCACAATTGAAAGTCTGTCTCCTAAAGTCAGTTTTCCCCAAATTGGTCTATACTCAATGAAATTTCAATCAATATTCAAAAATGTTGTTACAAGAACTGAAAGGCCAATTCTGAAAAGAAATAGAAAACTAAGGCAACTGTACATAAGAACAACAGCATCAGGTTAGCTCTATCAGATAGCAGCATGCATTATAAGGTTGTTATGTACAGAGCATGATGGTGATAAGAGAAAATGTTCCATCCCTGTGATAAAGTGCCCACAAAAATAACTTCAAGAAGAGTTTATTGTGGCTCGTGGTTTCAGCTCAAATGCTTGGCTCTGCTGTTATAGGCCAGGGGATAAATTAAGATTCATATACCCCAGCAGGAACTGAGGTGGAACAGAGAGAGCTAACAAAGGCAGCCAGGAAGTGGAGAGAAAGAGCCAGGGGCTAGGGACAAGATATGTCTTTCTCAAGGAAATTCACAGACACTGACTTTCTCCCTTTAGAACCCACCTCCTACCGTTTCCACAACCTCCCCAAAGCATCATCAAATGAGACTCAGCTTTCATCACACGGCCTTTGGAACGCACTTAAGAGTCAAATCATATCAAAGACTAAAGAAAATTTGTCAATTAAAAGGTACTTAGAATTCATAGGTATAATGATACACACTTAAGCATATATGTTACTAAGTTGGGATCAAAGGGGTACTCCAGAACTGGGGCAGCAGTAGATGGAGAATGGGTTATCTTTTTGTTTATGGATCTAGGTCAAGCACACAACTGAGGGAAAATAATTTAATATTCATAAAAATCAATTACAAGTGAACTGTAGACCTAAATATAAAATAATAAATTTTCAGAAAAGAACCAAGAAACACCTGTACAACCTTAGAATACACTAAGACTTTTTAAATTAAAGCAAAACAAAATAGAAAGCAAGAAGAAACAAACATTTGTGGTGGTATGAATAAGGATGGCCCCCACGGCTCACAGGAGTAGGAGGTGGAGTCCTGTTGGAGAAGATGTATCACTGGGGTCCGCTCTGAGGGTTCAAAAGCCACAGTCATTCCCAGTAAGCGCCCTCTCTGTCTTGTGCTTGTGGATCAAGATGTGCACTCTCAGCAACTACTCTAGCACCATGCCTGCTGCCATGCTCCTTACCGTGACAATTACAACCCTCAGAAACAGTAAACCTCCATATAACCATTTCTTCTAAAAACTGCACTGGTCATGGTGTCACATCAGAGCAAATATGAAAGAACATTTAAAATAAAATATACCAATGAATGGAACTACCTTATAATTAAGAACTTCTACTCATTAAAAAAAAAAAAAAGAAAATTAAGAAAATAACACAAATCACAAACAGAAGATCTATAATTGTCAAAGATAGTGCATTTAGAATAAAGAACTTGTAATTAGTTGAGAAACAAACAAACCAAAAATGGTTCAGTATGCAAAAAAATATTCTGAAGAGTTCAACTAACTGAAAAGGAGCTCAGTAGACATTAGGAAAGTATAAATTAAAATTAGAACAGATTAAAATTCAAGACAGGTGAAGAGGGACTGGCTGGGGAAAAGGCTCGTTTGGTACTTTTCAGGCTCCAGATCTGAGTTCAATCCACAGAGTCCACATAAAAAAAGCAGGGCTTGGGGAAACAAACACCCTTGTAATTTCAGTGTTGGGGAGGTGGAGACGAGGGTCCCTGGGGCTTCCTAACAAATCAGCCTAGGCAATTTGGCAAGTTCTAGTCCTGTCAGAGAATCTGTCTCAAAAAAGAAAGGAAGAAAGTGTGTGTGTGTGTGTGTGTGTGTGTGTGTGTGTGTGTGTGTGTGTGTGTGTGAGAGAGAGAGAGAGAGAGAGAGAGAGAGAGAGAGAGAGAATGCCATCAGGTGTCCTCTGGCCTCCACAAAGACACATGTCTGCAACCACACAAAGACTGGTGAATATGTAGACCAAACTAAATTTCCATACATTACTGATGGGAGTTTAAAATCACTAAACTTCAAAATTAAATATAAACACAATTCTTGGCAATATAACCAACTAAAATGCGTATAACTGAGCACGAGAATGATAACCAAAAACTAAAACAAAAACCCAAAAAAGCAACTACTATTCCTAGTGACCCCACTAGCTAGAATTATCTCAGATATCTATCAAAATAGATATATGATTCATTAAAAACTGCCAGGTGTATATGTAATTAAAATGAACTAACTCTATATGTGATGATATAGATAAATTAAAAAATATGAATGAAGCACAGAAGAATATATGGTTCATGATCTTTATAAAAACTAACACACAGAAAAAACTAAATTAAGGAGTAAAATTAAAGACTGTGGTTATCTTTCACTATCTTTGAGGAAGAGGGAAGGATAAGTGTTTTGGGTGCTAGTTATCCCCATTTCTCGACCTGAATTGTTTTATAAGAATTTTTCACTTTGAAATGATGCACTTGGCTTACTTGTTTTCTTGTGTGTGTATGTTATAACAAATGCACATAAATATGCAAATGCACTAGTCAGTTGCTTTTGTAATTTGGAGACATTGGTGGTATCATATAATAGTCAAGTTTATTAATGTAGCGTTTTCTTTTACTAAAAATCAAACCTATTAAAGAAATCCTCCTGTACTCTAAAGACATAATCTTATGGACTTTTGAAAAAAATTAAAGATTTATTGTAATTTGTTTGAGGACAATCTGGGCTACACAGAAAATCTATGGTCAGATCTTCTCAAAACAAAGACAAATGGAGCTAGTGAGAAGACTGGCAGAAGTCAGTGTAGAGAGCATGAGAGGCAGACGGGAGAATGGACAACATCCATCTGTACTTCAGCAGGCAAGGAGGTGGTGTGGCTAGGACAGTTCATACCTCTAATCAGAACATGAGGTTTTCATCTCATCAAACCAACCTTACAATTCCTCCCTCCCTTTTCCTGAATGCACAGATTTCAAGGCTTTGCTGTTTGAGAATTTCTTCTTTTGCTCTACTTGTCTTTTACCGAACTACCATTCAATTAGTTTTCAATTAGTAATAAACTGTCTTACTTAGGTTAGTATTTGGAACTCAATTTTTAATATAAGAATTATGGTTGGTTTATTCTTCTAAGATGCATCTTCTAAAATTCAGATATCCCTCCACCAAACAAAACCCACTCATACAATTCCTGTCCCATATCAGATTGTGGCCAGTTATGCACCTTTAAGGAGGTTTTCCTCAATTCAAACCTAAGCAGTAACATTATTTTAGTATAGTGATTGTAGAGTGTGGAGAGAGAGAGAGGCAGAGAGAGGAGGGGGGGAGAAGAGGGAGATGGAGGGAGAGGGAGAGAGAGGGAGAGAGGGGAGGGGCAGGCAGGCAGGCAGCAGAGCATTTAACATGTACTAGTTACCATGCTAAGGGCTTCATTTGTATCATCACAATTAAGTCCCACAACAACACAGAGTTAGTGTGCTCTTACACTCACAAGTGAAAAACAACGAACACAAAAGCAGAGGCAGAGGAAGCTAAGAATTATGCCCAAGATCAAACTTAGGAAATGTGAGAGCTAGACAATATACTTACAGAAACAAATTTAGAGATTATGTCCTTAACCTCTGGTCTATTATGCCTCCCAAACAGAGATCAGCCTGTTTCCCTAACCTTCCCTGTTGCTCTCTTCTTGTTTTCAAATCATTCAGACTTCAATCTCTACACCCTCCTTAGGTTATTTCTTACCTATGATGGCTGTAGCTAACTGTAGCTAATTCTCAATATACCTCTATAATCCTGTTCAAGGCAACCTTTGCTGTCTTTACACAAAGCATACTTCCAGTCCCTTCAATGTTGCAAATATTTGGGATACCTACACCGTTCTTAGCAGTAAACACATATTGAGGCGTCAAGTTTCTGTCCAAGTGGCATCTCCTCTGTGTAATAGCCAATATTTGTTTAGCACCATGTGTCATATGCCATTCTCCTTTATACCTCAATGTTTATTCAATAATTCCATCAACTGATGCAAACGAGTCAGCAGTTGCTACGTCAGTGTATTTATGTATCTCCCTCCGCCAATTACATCTTGGGATAACAAGAATGTCTCCATCCCTACACCAGCTATGTTTCTAGAGCACCTGGCACGTAATAAAACAGTAGCTCAACAAACATCTATTAAACTAATGACCAGAGAAGTGTTTGCGGGTCCTTAACTGCAGACTTGGAAACTCTTCCTGGCCCATCAGCCCTCGGGTTACTCGGAGCACAAGAGAAGCATAACAAATCTATTTCGTGTCTAGCTGCCTCCTATGCATGCTTAAGGAATCTATGAGTCGGCTTCGCTAAGTACATACATAATCTCAAGTACATCATCAAGCATTTTGTAAAGCGGACTTAAGTTTTCTATATATTTCCACGCTGAGACCCAACCACAACCAAAACATATTAGGTCAACGACAGCCAGCGACATTGCATCTTACAGATGAATTTTCCATCAGGGCAGAGGGCGCTTACTTTGGTCTCTCAGTAAGTCGGATTCTGTGGCCATTTCGATATTTTAGTTTGGAGTTTACACCACCTTTTACCGATTCCTCGCACGGGGAGTAAGATTTTTTGTAAACAAAACAAAACAAACAAACAAAAAGAGGTCTCCCACTGTGAGGGCAAACAAAAAGCTAAGGGCTCGCCGTGGCAAGGGACCCTCTGCGCGGAGGCATTAGCATCCCACTCACGCGGCGGCGCAGGCCGGCCCGCAGCTCCGCCGAAGCCAGGAGACGACGCGCGTCAGACTCCGCTCGGCCGGACCCGGGCGGGGGAAGGGGCGGCGGGGCGACGGGGCGGCGCGCGGCCGGCCGGAGGGAGGGCGACCCTGGGACGCGCGGGGCTCGGCCGCGGCGTCACCGCGGGGCTGAGGGGCGAAGCCAGGACCGCGGGGAAGCCCGAGCCGCCGCGGAATCCACTCGGCCCGCCCTGCGACTTTGAAAGCGGTGCCCCAGACCGTTCCTTGGAGACGGTGACGCCACGTCCGTCATCGCGCGGGCGTCATTGCCTGCGTCATTACGCTGCCTCAGGCTGCGGCAGGTGATTGGCTATTTGTCTGGCGCTGGGCGGGCCCCTAAGTGCGCTGGGGTCCGAATGGCTCGCTTGGCGCCTTCCGCAGTGCCGCGGCGGGTGTGAGGTAGAGTGGCGCAATCTTAATTTTTTTTTCCCCCCTTCTTTCTTCCCTTCTTTCCTTTTGTAAGACAACCGAAAAGTGTGACAGGAGCAGGCACTAGAGACATATTTTCGTTGCACTCCGAGTCTTGGTTTCGCAGACACCAAGCGTCTGTGGGGCGTGTGCAGGGAGGGCCTTGGGTCCTGGGGTGAGGTGACTTGGACTCTCCTCAAGTCAGCTTGGAGCTGTTGCTTCTAGGTCTAGGTCTGGAAGTAGTGACCCCGACCCCCGCTCCTGGGAAAGAGAGCTGTTATCGAATGTTTAACCTTGTCACGTAGTTAGGCTAGCCTGCAAACCCTGCAGGTATTTCAGATCTAAGGAAGGATAAAATTTTGCAAAAAAAAAAAAAAAAAGGAAAATTTTATTGGTGGATAAAGTACCATTCCCAGTTTTAAGAAGTGTGTTGTGTGGGTTTGAGCCGTAGAGCTTAAAACACATGAAGATTACACATACACAAAAATACTGGAGAAAACGACATTGGCAAAAAGGAAAAAAAATTCACTTGTAGTGCATCACTGGCTTTACAGAACCTTTTTTTATTGATTATATATTTATACATTGAAATAAATTTTACTAAATATGTCCTGGTCCTGAGATGGCTCAGTTTGTTTATGAAGTGCTCGCCTGATTTGGGATTCCCAGCACACACATAAAAAAGCCAGACAGAGCCCTGTGTGCCTTTAATACCAGTACTGGGGAGGTGCAGACAGAAGGTTGAAGGGAAAGGAGTGTTCTCTGGCCAGAAGCCTAGACAAATTGGAAAACTTCAGGGTCAGTGAGACACTGTCTCAAAAAGTAAGGTCAGGTATGTTAATAAGATTTCTTTTTCTGTGAGAAAATTCCTGATGGAAAAAAAAAAGGGTTTTAAAAAAAAGAAGAAGAAAAATATGAACAGCAAACCTCAGCCCATACACAGGTATGAACCCTCTCCCACAGGGACACACACATAAACAAAACAAAAGTTATGTTGGACTTTCTGTTGAACAACTTAAGTTTTGTAACTCTGTACCTATCCATAAACTAGCATAAACAGTGTTAGCCTCCTTCCTCTAAAAAGACTAGCTTTAAAATGTCTATAATAGCTGTACAAAGGTTTAAACTTTGAATAAGTGAAGATTCAACCTGGTCTGGTTTTTAGTGCCCACAAACTTAACATAAAAGCGTACAATGATTGTGTATGCTCTGCCTCTTCAGTGTAGAATACTTTCTGATGAAACTTCTTACTGATTCCTCTTAAAGAGAGTTCCCAATATGGTGTATTGTAATGTAAGTTGATGTTGGATAAGTATAGCTATAAATTTATAAGCTATAAATTTAATACTTACACTCAGCACTAATAAAATATATTGGTGTAGAAAAAGAAAAGTATGACATATATAAAAATGAATGGGTTTGTCTACATTGAATAGTAGAACTTTTATGTTTGTACTTGACATGTTTGGTTTTATACTATCAAAATAAACACAAATCATTTGAATTTTCATATATTGAAAGGTTGATGACATAATTCACTAGTAATTTTAATAAGTTGACACTAAACACCTAGTATTCTGCAAAACAAACCTGAACAATATGCTAAGTTCGAGTTTAAGTAAGCAAGTTTCAAAGCTAGCACATAACACCAAGGATTTGAGCCAGAAAGTATGGTTTAAATATCACAACCTTTAACTACAATTAACATAAATTATATATAATGTTTTAAAGTTTATAGTTCCTAGTTGAAATGAATGAACTGCTGCTTTACATATTTTATTATCATTATAATGTTTTTTGCTGAATTATCCTACCTTCTTAAAATAATAAAAGGAGTAATCGCCCAGACTTCAATGATATGATTAAAAGCCTTCAAATGTCTGTTTTTATGTCCTCGAAACATTTTTCCTGAAAAATTGGGTTTGTCACTTTCAGAACTCCCAAGTCCCTCCCCCTCGAACTTGTGCTGGATGGAGCCTAAGAGGGAACCCTCTAAGATCTGAGCTGGAGACCACAACCAAACTAGAACTAAGAGCTTCCAGGTCTGTGTTCTATTGGTATGTCCTTTTATCTTCTCTTTAAATCTGTCAGAAGCTCCTACTAAAAACATTTTACTTCCCTCTGCCTCCAGCTGGCATAGATTCCTCTGACTTTACTTCTTCTGTCCCGCGCTACCGTCTCGCCAGCAAGAACGACGGGGCACACAGATAGGATCCTTCTGCGATAATAGCTTTAATGCTTCTTGAGAGGCAGAGCATAAGCTTACACCAACTGTAGAGCGAAGACCCCGAGAGCAAAAACCCCCACCCTTATATAGAAACTCAGCCTCGCTTAGGACGTGTCACTCCCTGACTGGTTGCTCGCTCATCAGGCCGAATGACGCCACGGGAGAGGCGCGGGAGAAATCCCCTTGCACGCGCGCACAGGCTTATTTATGCCAACTGTCAGCCGGATGCCAGTGCCATCTTGTAATGGAGAATGTAGGGACGGCTCCCTACATTCTTCCTTCCTCCATTTCTTTTTATTTTAGTTTTATATTTTTTTCCTTTTTTATTTAGATTTGAAACAAGGTTGTTTTACACGAATCTCAGTTACTTCATCCTCCCATCCTTCCCTGTCACCCCCACCAAACCCCAGCCAATCCCCTTTCTACTCCCCAGGGAGGGTGAGGCCTTCCATGGGGAGTCTTCAAAGTCTGTCATATCATTTCTTTTAGAAATGTGTGGTACAGTGTAGCATGTGAACTAAAAAGAAGTATGTACTGTAGAAAAATTAAAGGATTTTTTTTTTAAATAAAGGAACTTGTAAAACAAGCCTGTTTCAAATTTAAATAAAAAAATTATCAAAAAAATAAAGAAACTTGAAAATCTATGACAATTGTTTTATTAAAAAAGCATTCTTTAAAACCTTTTTTAAAGCTTTTTTTTATGTTCTGAATGAATGCTCCATGAGTCTGCCTCTTTTTTTATTTCCTTATATAGAAATTAAAACAATTGACTTTTTAAAGTATAAGTTGAAAAAGATAAGCTCAAAGTGAAAACTACAGAGTAACAACATTGTTTTAAGAAAGCCAAAGCAACTGATAATAAGAGTATGTAGTGGGATGGGGAACTCCTAGCAAGATTGTGTAGTGGGATGGGGAATGCCTAGTAAGATTGTGTAATGGGATGGTGAACTCCTAGTAAGATTGTGTAGTGGGATGGGGAACTCCTAGGTAATATTAATTCTGACTCCATAAATGTTTCATCATGGTGCTAGTTAAGAGACTTAACCTTAAATTGAACTATAAAGTATTCTCAAATTATTCATTTACAATTTTTTGTTGTAATGAACCCACAAATAGGCAACTGCTCAAACACACACAATCCCAGTTTGTACATCGCAGTGCAGTAAACTGAAGCCATGGATCTTCATTCAGGGTTTTACCCCATACTATCAATCACATTTTTATTCATTTCTCCACCACAAAAACAAAAACAAAAACTATGATAGAGTTTAAAGTAGAGAAACAAAAAAACAAATAGCATATAACCTCTCTCATGACTCAAATGTCCTTTTGTCTAAATTCTGTCTTTCCAAACCACTTGGTATTACTCTTTCTTAATATTCTTTCTGAATGGTATACTATACCCACATTTACAGCTATTTCCATGCATACATGTATACATTAAAGGCTGTTTACATACTTATACATATACATTATATATAATACATGCCTATAGTGTAGTGTTTACACATATGAATGTATATACCATAATGCACCTTTATTCTTTCAGAATTTCATACAGGCATACAATGATTTTATTTATCCTCCCCTTAACTCTTCTTAGATCCATTCTTGCCTCTTTGCCCTTTTCCAACTTAATTTTCTTTTCAAATGTTGCTAATATACTCATGCATATGGGGCCATGATTGGATCTGGGTTAGTGTACCAGGGGCCACATCCTTAAAACTAACTCTTTTTCCCCTAGAAGCCATCAACTGTCAGTTGCTCCTCAGCTAGGGATTGGAGGCATTTGAGTCTCTTTTCTCCTTCATGCTGAAATGTTGACTGTCTTGATCTTGTACAGATCTTCTGCACATAGCCAAATCTATTATGAGCTCATGAGTACAATAGTCCTGTCATGTCCAGAACACACTATTTTGTCCCTGTTCTCCATGACTTCTGACTCTTACAATCTTTCTGTCCCTTATTCCTTAATGTTTCTGAGTCTTAGGAAAAGGGTGTGATTTAGAAGTCTTATTATTATTAATATATAGCATTTAACAAGATATACTGATATAACTGACACTGTGGGTTTCTTCTGCTTAAAACTGTACACTCAGAATTTTAGTTGTAGATACCAGAGCAGTATTCATTTGACTTGCATATATCTCCTAGTTAAAGCATTCTACATAGACTGAGATAATAAATACATATCATGTGGTATAAGTTTTGTGAATCAAAGTGGAACAGTACAGTGGTGATAGAGAATGGCAGAGAGGATTACTCCAGGTGAGGAAAGCCATGGGCAATTAAGATATCTATTTCATCAGCCTATGTGCAAAGAAACAGAAAGACAGTAGGGGTAAAGTCTTAGGAAATGACTAAGGGAGTTGAGAGGAGGTTTAGTTGTCTATAGTTTATGTTATTTTCAGATTGTTAACAAGTCAGCAAGATCATACATTTTAGTTTAATTTTTAAATTGAAAATGGATTTTCCCATATAATATATTCTGATCACAGTTTTCTCTCCCTCATCTCCTCCCAGATCCTCCCTACCTCCCTACCCATCCAAGTCCACCCCTTCTCTCTCTCTAGAAAACAGAACAAAAACCAAAGAAACACAAAACAGAATAAAAAGAAAAAAAAAAGAAGAAATGTGAGAAGCACATACACAAAGAGAGATACACAGAAAACCCATATAAACACAAAATCAGAAACCATATATATATATAAAACAAAAGACCAATAAGATTTAAAAAAAAAAGCTCAGATAAAGCATTATAAGTCAAAGCAAAACAAAAACAATCAAAAAACTGAAAACCAACTAAACAAACACCTTCCCAAATACCATTAAGTTCCTTTTGAGCTGGTCATCTACTACTGGTCATTCATGGAGCCTATTCTTAAGAGTGGTTTCTATGCTCAGTGAGACTCCAATGGAGAAAACTAAATTTTCATTTGTGAGCAGTTGTCAACTGAAAATGGCTTTTGGTTTACTGGTGAGAGATCATGTCCACTTTCCCATTTTAGTACTGGGACCCCATCCAGCATGAATCTGTGCAGACCCTTTTTGTTCTGCCACTGTCTCTGTAAATTCATATGAACATCAGTTCCCTGTTGTATCTTGAAGGCCTTGTTTCCTTGGTATCTTCTACCCTTACTGGCTCTTATAAAATCTTTTTGCTTCTGCTTCCATAAAGTTCCCTGAAGTCTTCAGGTTTGATGGAGACATCCTTTTTAGACTGGATGTTCCTAGCTCTCTCACAATCTGCACATTGTCCAGTTGTGAGTCTCTGTTTGTTTCCATCTACTGCAGGTGTAAGCTTTTCTGGTGATAGTTGGTTGAGTGAGGCACTGATCTATAGCAGAGTGTTGTTAGGAGTCATTGTATTGCTGTATTTCTTTTGTAGAACAGTAGTATTTGGTTTTCCCCTAGGTCCATGGCCTATCTGGTCCCAGGTTCTTGACTACCTAGGCAGTGTCAGACATAAAACAAATCAGATATTGGTTACTGCTACAAGCTTTGTACCACCATTGTTCTAGCATATTTTACAGGCAGGACACCATTGTAGATCAGAGGCTTTATGCCTGGTTTCGTGTTTACATTTCTCTTTTGTTGAAGATACTGTTTTGTTTTGTTTTGTTTTGTTTTCCACTGCATTTCTGGCTTCTTTATCACAAATCAGGTGTTCACTGATGTGTAGATTTATATTTGGGTCTTCATTTCTCTTGAAGAGCTACAGGCAATTAATGTCCAAGAGAGGAAGAGTCAGTGTTTCCCAGGGATGAGCCACCTAACTGGTTACTCAGTACCAAATAGTGAGCCCTAAAAACATGTATGAGTATATGAACTACAGTAAGTGCACACAGCAGGTAATATTTACATATTAATATATATACATTAGTATATTGATAATAGAAAAATGATACAAGAGAGATAATACATGAAGGTAAAAGCAGGGCTTGGAAGTAGAAGAAGGGAACATTGAGAGGGTGATCAAGATATAGTTATTACTATTGGGAATTGAAGATGGTCAGTATATACTATATATAGGTATGAAATGTCATAATAAAACCCATCATTTTGTACAATTAATAAGTGCTAAGAAACTGGGAAATAAATTCCTCTAAAATCAGGAACAAGACAAGGCTGTCCTCTTTCTCCACATCTCTTCAATATCATACTAGAAGTTCTAGCTAATGCTATAAGACAATAAAAGGAGATCAAGGGGATCCAAATTGGAAAGGAAGAAGTCAAACTGTCTCTATTTGCAGATGATATGATAGTTTACATAAGTGACCCAATAAACTCTACCAGGGAACTCCTACAGCTGATAAACACCTTCAGCAAACTAGCAGGATACAAGATAAACTCAAAAAAATCAGTAGCCCTACTTTTTTCAGACGACAAAGAGACAGAGAAAGAAATCAGAGAAACATCACCCTTTAAAATAGCCACAAGCAACATAAAGTATCTTGGTGTAATGCTTACCAAACAAGTAAAAGACCTATATAATAAGAACTTTGTGACTCTAAAGAAAGAAATTAAAGAAGATACCAGAAAATGGAAAGATCTCCCATGCTCTTGGTTAGGTAGGATTAACATAGTAAAAATGGCAATCTTACCAAAAGCAATCTACAGATTCAATGCAGTCCCCATTAAAATCCCACCACAATTCTTCACCGACCTTGAAAGGATTATAATCAACTTTATATGGAAAAACAAAAGACCCAGGATAGCCAAAACAACCCTATACAATCAAAGAACGTCAGGAGGCATCACCATTCCTGACTTTAAGCTCTACTACAGAGCTATAGTTCTGAAGACAGCCTGGTATTGGCATAAAACTAGACAGGTAGACCAATGGAATCGAATTGAAAATCCTGATACTAATCCATGCACCTATGAACACCTGATTTTCGACAAAACAGCTAAAATTATACAATGGGGCAAGGACAGTATCTTCAGCAAATGGTGCTAGCACAATTGGATGAGGGTGTGTAGAAGACTGAAGATAGACCCATGTCTGTCGCCATGCACAAAACACAAGTCCAAATGGATCAAAGACCTTAACATCAATCCAGCCACATTGAACCTCTTAGAAGAGAAAGTAGGAGGTACCTTTGAACAAATTGGTATAGGAGACCGCTTCTTGAACATAACTCCAGGGACACACACACTGAAAGAAACAATTAAAAAATGGGACCTTTTCAAACTTAGAAGCTTCTGTAAGGCAACGGACACAGTCGACACGACCAAACGGCAGCCCCACAGACTGGGAAAAGATTTTCACCAATCCTATATTCGACAAAGGGCTGATCTCCAAAATATACAAAGAACTCAAGAAACTAGTCAACAAAACACCAAATAACCCTATTAAAAAATGGGGTACAGAACTGAAGAAATAATTCTCAATGGAGGAAATCAAAAAGGCTGAAAGACACTTAAGAAAATGCTCCACATCCTTAGCTATCAGGGAAATGCAAATCAAAACAACTTTGAGATACCATCTTACCCCTGCCAGAATGGCTAAAATTAGAAACACCAGTGATGACTTATGTTGGAAAGGATGTGGAGAAAGGGGAACACTCCTCCACTGCTGGTGGGAGTGCAAACTCATACAGCCATTTTGGAGATCAGTATGGCGGTTCCTCAGGAAAATGGGAATTAGTTTTACCACAGGACCCGGCAATCCCCCTCTTAGGCATATACCCAAAGGATTCACATCCATGCAAGAAAGACATCTGTTCAACTATGTTCATAGCAGCACTATGTGTAATAGCAAGAACCTGGAAGCAACCTAGATGCCCCTCAATTGAAGAATGGTTAATGAAGATGTGGCACATCTACACAATGGAATACTACTCTGCAGAAAAAAATAATGGTATCTTGAAATTTGCAGGCAAATGGATGGCACTTGAAGAAACCATCCTGAATGAGGTAACCCAGTCACAAAAAGAGAAACACAGTATGTACTCACTCATATATGGATTTTAGACCTAGATCAAATGATCACCAGCCTATAATTCACACCACCAGATGAACTAGGATACAAAGTGTATTCTAAGAGATTCATATAAAGTCCCTCACAGAACTGGGAAGGGACAAGTCCCCCAGAGCTCAGGTGAAGTGGGGGAAGACAGCGAATGGAAAGAGAAGTAGGAGAAAATGAGGGGGAGGAAAGGAAAACCTGTGCGACCAGGAAGATTGAGCCTGGTTAGGAATAGAAGATAGGAAAGAGAGAGAGAGAGACAGAGACAGAGAACATAAAAGAGGGAGCCAATATTGGTTTGAAGATAAAATTGAACACAAAGAAAGGTCGAGAGACCTACAAGACTGCTCCCAACTAACAATTTGAGCTTCTGTGGAAAGGCTATCATAAATGCCCTTCCCGGAGAGTGAGATCAACAACTAACTTCTCCATGGACCCCTCAACTAATGCCTGTTGAAAATAGGAGCAAACACCCATACATAAACACTGAGTCGAACTACAACCCAGAAGCAGATGGAGAGGACAAGACCACGCGGCAGAAGCACATAGAGACAGCTTACGTGAACAAGGAGGAGCTAACGGGCCCCCAGACTGATAGCTGGGAAGCCAGCATGGGACTGACTCAGGCCCCCCTGAATATGGGTCTCAGCCAGAAGGACTGAGCAGTCTAAGGGACCTCAGACAGTGGAGCCAGGATGTATCCCTGGTGCACAAAAGGACTTTGTGAACACATCCCCCATGGAGGGATAACTGCCTTAATCTAGAGACAGGAGAGAAGCCCTAGTCCCTACTTCACAAGACCTGTCAGATCTACATGACCCCAACTGGATGGCATTCCCCTACACATGGAATTGGGGTGGGGGGATGGGAGGGGAGGGTGTTTAGAGTGCATGTGAGAGGGCAGAGAGGGTAGGAGGGAGGGAGAGTTGGGGGGAGGGAGGGAGGGAGAGGGAACTGGGATCGACATGTAAAACAATAAATTAAATTAAAAAAATGCTTTGACTCCAAAATTTAAGTTGAAGGACAAGTTACTGGGGAAAAGGATTTCTATTTTTATTTCCACAGAAAATGAAAAGATGTGGATTCCTTCCAGACTAATGAGGTTTGATCACGCCAGACCGCCTGAAACAGAGTACAAGCTAATCCTACATTCAAAACAGCTGGACAAAACAGCCCTACAGACTACAGCCAGGATATCTGAATCTTCTTCGAATCCCCCAAGACAGCGCCCCTTACCAGCAGGAAGTAGCTTGGAAAGAACGACGCCCAAATTCCCAAATATTGTGTATAAATGTTTGTTTTCATTTAATTGGACTTTGTTATATAAAATAAAATAAAATAAAAAAAAAGAAACATGGGTGAAAATAATCTGTAATACTCAGGGACCTAGCTATACAAATGGTTGAAAATTCCCTAAGTAATTAGTAAGGACAATGATTTTAGCAATATAACTATATACATATACATATATACATATATGTAAATTTCTGAAACAGAGGTAGAATTGAAATGTTTTGACCAGAGGTAGAACTGTATATGTAACATGATAAAAAAAAAGCATAAATTGTATCAATACAAAAAATGTCTTGAATATATGTAAAAGTTTACATACATAGAATATGATAAAGATATTGTGCACAAAACATCATAAACAGAAAGAATATCTTACACAATATGACAGAACATAATATACAAAAAAAAGAAAGTGGGAAATATTTACAGATAATTGATATACACATAAACAATGTTTCCATCTGTTAAAAACAAAGTTGTTTACTAATGAGATGGATATATTTATTTATTTTTACATGACGGATTAATCTTGTCTAAATATGGAAAATACATAACCTTGTGTAGTTAAGTAAATTTATAATTTCTTTAGTGGATTTGTTTATAACATCTTACAATGATTTTTACATACCACAAATAAACATAGCTACATCAAGATTAAAAGTCATGAATCTTTTAGACTCCATGATTTGCTACAATCCAGATGGCCATTTGACTCCTAGGATTTTGTTCTTGTCACTCTGCTGCCTAGCTGTCTCCTGTTTGTCATTGCAGTTTTCAAGTAAAGGGCATTGTTATATGCTATTAATAAATTTGTTTTAATTTGCTTCTTCAGATGGATTTTAAAATTGAATATACTTGGGATGGTTTTCCAGTGAAGCATAAGCCAGTGTGTGTCAAGCTGAGTCCAGGGGACAAGGGAGTAAAGATGGAGGTTAGTGCTCCATTTTTCAATGATCCTCCAGCTCCTCTTGGAGTACCAGGAAAACCTTTCAGTGAACTGTGGAATTATGAAGGTAAGTAGAAGTATTGTGTTTTATTACAAACATAAATCTTTTTCTAATAACCTCTCAGAGAACTATTATTTTATCTTGCTGTTAGGAAGTAATATGCTTCTGAACAACTGACATTCAGTTTCTGATCTTGACTACCCATCTGTCATTGTGACTTCCCTCCCATTTCCAATGGGGCTCCAATATATGAGCAGAATAGTGAAAAATGGCAATCCCAAATCCAGATGTTTGTGTTGCTGCCACATTTCCTTCCTTTACTCATGTCATCTGCTCTAAAAAGAGTTAGTTTTTTTCCCATTTTGTCTTTAAAGAATCTTTAAATTGCCGCTTTTACCTAAATAACCACCTGTACGGGAATTTGAGAATGTGTTACTTACTGGAGAAATTCTATCAGCATAAGATTTAATATCTACTTTCTGCTGTCAAGTAATCTCACATATCAAATTAAGGGTGAAAGACACGACAGGAAATTAACTGGTTTTAGGTTTGTTTTCTGTCTTGTACTATATCCTCATCAAGCTTCAGGGTTCTTTCTGAAATACTGTTCATGATGCTATTCCCATAGATATAAAATTCTACATTACATAGAATTTAAGAATATACTGCAAGATTTCTCACTCAGTGTATTGGGATTTATTTACTTAGCACAGAGCCTTGCTTCCACTTAAGTAATCTCTTTTCCTAAGTCTGTGTTTCACTTTGAAGCTAGAATGATCTGTTGGCCCTCTAAATGAAAATTTAAACTTATCCTCCAGCTAAGGTTTTTAATGAAAAAAAGCAAATTATACTTAAATATTATTTCATATTTATTTTTTAAAATATCTTAAGAGGTAAAATTGTTTGTAGAAGCTTAGCAAAAGGTCTGGCAAGTTTTAGTAGAAAGAAAGGGGCTGTGGTTGGTTTTCACTTCATATATTTCATGCTGTTGTAACTATTTACAAGAAAGATGCATTACATCCATAGTCAACTAATTTTTAAAGCAACTAATCCTCAAAAAAAAAAAAAAAAACCAACCCTGAAATTATAATAAAAATCACCACTTACAAAAACCAGTAGTTTTTAAAATAATTAGTTTGAAAAAAAAAAAACATTTCCAGGCTTGTGGAGGTCAGGGAACTTGTGGGAGTTGGTTATCTTCTCGCACCATGTGGATTCCGGGGAATCTAACTCAGATCACCAGGCTTGGTAGCAAGTACTTTACCTGCTGTGCCACCACACTAGCCCCACCACTCTTCATATTTGTTGTGCCTATGTTGTAGCAGGTAGTCACAAGCTCATACATTCACGTGCATACACATATTTAAATCTCATGTACATTTGGTTCATGGCTAATACATTTAGTTACTGCTCTATACATATTTCACTGTCTTTGATTTTAACGGCACCATTATAGCCTATTACATGAAATGCATGCATCCTGTGATGTACTTAATAAGTTTTGCTGAATAATAGGTGATTTATTTATGTGCCAGGAAATACTTCTTTGTAAGAAGAGATAGCTTATTTATAATTTCTGGTTTTTTGAGTCATACTCTGATGGGTAGAATTGTAGTTAGTTTCTTTTTCTAGTTGTCTGATTTGTTTCTTTGCGATAAATTCCAAGAGGAAGATAGGACCAGAGTCCATCTGTGCAGACATGTTGATTTCCCTATGGCCTCACCATCACTAGGCTTTGTATTTCCTTTGAATTTATGGCAGACTTCTATGGGAGAAACTGAGGGTGACTTATTTCTTATTCTTCCAGACTCTGTATTTATTTTGCTCCCTTTCCTACTGGGGATAGTATGATGACTTAAGAAACTTAGTAATTCACTTTATATTAAAAAGGAATACATTATTTACTATGCAAGAAAAATAAAATTTCCCATGTTCTGTCTGTTTTTATAAGTTGTAGAAGCATTTTTCCTGAATGATACAACTGAGCAGTATTTAGAAGTTGAACTTTGTCCGTAAGTATGAACTGTTTTTCTCAACTATTACATGATTTGAATATATTTGTTTTCTAGTTATAAATAGTAGTAAAACTCATTAAGTTCAGCTATGTGATGGTCATATTAGTGTGAGTCAGTTTTAAATCTCTATTTATTGTCTTGTACAATGCATACTTTTAGAATTTATGTTTAGACTATATATATCTCCTACATGTTTGAGTATATTATTTGATGTGATATTTTTGATTTATTGATGTAAATGATTTTGTAATAAATGTGATAATTTTTTTACAAAGTGGAAAAAATTACTATCAACAAATAATTACTTTATATGTTTACACTATAACATATTAACTATTTAGAAGTAAAGGGAGAGTTCCCATCCCTAATTAAGACATTATCTTCATATCTAGTTAGTTTTATTTGCCAGTTTGTTTTCTAAAGGAAGAGACAAAGAAGGTGTGTAGTTAGATAGGGGGAGAGTGAGGAGGATCTACCAGGAGATAGAAGAAACTGTAATCAGAATTTATTTTATGAAAAAGTTTGTTTTCATTAAAAAAATGGGAGACATAGATAGTGAATTACTAGCTTACAGAAATGCTTCTTTTTGAATGATTAAACTTGAACTTTATATATTATATAATTATGTATTTATGTATTTGGTTGTCATTCATTCTTTTGAACACATAGTATATCATTTTTGCATTTAATGCCAAGAATATAATTTAATTCATACCTGAATTTTCTAAAACTCACAGTAAAAATATTACCTTTGAACTTATTTTTTTGTTTTGAGACAGGTCCACACTGAATAGCTCTGGCCAGTCTGGGACTTTGGGGGATTAAAAGTGTGGGCTACTACTTCGAGTTGTCTTGGAATTTCTTTGTTTGAACTTCAATATACTTTCTTTATGTGGTGACAAACTTTTTTGTAAGAAGAGGAAACTTATGATTACTTGTTATCTAAATTATAGCATAGTTTTAATACATGAGATGTTTTTGTATATTGCTATTGTTTATTTTACCTGTCACTTAAATGTTTCTCAGTATCAGTGTCCAGTAGTCTTCTTTTGTAGACTGACTACCGAGCTGCAATTAATCCACACAAAACTTTAGAGTCCTCACTTGTTAGTTGTTTATTTTGTTTTGCTTTTTGCTAACTCTAGCATGTAAAATGCAGTAATTTGCAATTGTTTTTGTTTTGTTTTGCTTTGTTTTCTGAGACTGGGTCTAACTATGCAGCCCTGGCTAGCATGGAATGCACAAGAATCATGGTTTTGCCTTAGGCAGTCAATTCCTGTACTGATTAATTAACAGCTAGAAAAGCAGTAAAAAGAACGTTGTTTTAATTTACAAGAAGTTTTACACATCCTAGGATCTTCCCAAAGCCCCATAAAACCAGTAAAATTAATCAGAGGATTTTTAAGTGGAAAGCATTGCTTGTCTTCTGTTGGAGTACTTTATTGCAGAAAATCCTCCCTCCAAAAGCTCACAAAGGACCATCTGAGTGGAAATGTTTGATAGACTTCCAGAGGCAGAAAATTTGCTTCATGTAAATACATGCAATCCATTGCTTCTTACAGACTCCGATAATCCCATTTATTTGTTCCCATTAGAATTTCCTTTTGAGAATATATTATGCTTGCTTTTGGAGGTGTGACATTGGTACCTGAACAAATAGTAGAAAGCTGGAAAACAGATGGCAAACTGTTCAAGGGTATCAGTGTGAAAAAACAGACATACATTAAAATCTGTGCCTTGTTGACTAGTTTTGATCAATCTATATTTTACATCTTCTATCAATGAAGTTTCATACAGAAATAACTGTTAGTTAAGCTGTTAGATTAGGATTTAGAAATCAGCTCCAGCTTTCCTTGGAGGACTTTAGTTGTTGCAGCTGTTTTTATTTTAAAACTTAAGTATCATGATTATCTCTCTTTTTCTTACATTGCGTTATCTAACCAAGTGAAGATTCTATATAATTTCCTATCTAAAGAATATGAAAAGCAGGGGCCAGTGAAATTGCTCTGTGGTTAAATAATATGAATAATTTCCTATCTAAATAATATGAAAAATTGTGTTAGCCAGTGAAGTGCTATGATTTGTCAGCAGTTGTTTAGGAAACAGTAATTCCAAAGTTGCCATTTCTGAAAACGTGACAAACTGGTTCTCACTGTAGTTATCTAATACTATATTGCACTTTTTACTTATTTGGAAATTTAGCTACAAACACACACATTACATTTAGAAAAGAAAGTAAAGAAGGCAATTATTGTTTTTCTTGTAACAGACCATAGAAATGATCCATGAAAGTATAATCTTAATTGTTTTTTGTTAACATTCATGAGGAATCTTAATTTTACAGACATGGACAGCATTTAGTTCTTTTACTCTCTGGAAGAAGAAACGTTTGGAAAGTGAGTAAAGAAACATATGAAACTAAATTCTATAATGCACAGCATGTGTATCTATAAGTTTGAACTTGCCTTTTATGTTTCTCATAGAAAGAGCTTGCATTATCATTCAAAGTGTTCAGAGGAGAAACAAACTGGGAAGGCATAGCTTTTCTTCCTTGGAGTTATTTTCCACCAGATGTGACAAAATTCAACTCATTTGCCATTCATGGATCAAATGATAAAAGAAGTTATGAAGCCCTTTACCCTGTGCCACAGCATGAACTGCAACAAGGACAAAAACCTGATTTGTAAGTAGAAAATAAATGGAGGTACAGTCTAACTACAGAATTTGTTTGTTTGTTGATATAAGGTTTCTGTGTGTATCCCTAGCTGTAGTGAAACTTGCTCTGTAGGCCAGGCTGGCCTCAAACTCTGAGATCTGCTTGCTTCTGCATCTGGAGCACTGGAATTAAAGGCCTCCACTGCCTGATGGAAATTAATTCTTGGTAGAGCAATAGTAACACTTGGTAGTTGAGGATGACATATGCATGAGTACATAATAAGGACCCTGTGTTCCCTCATGACCCTCAACTTTTGACCAAGATAGAGCATTTCATTATTTCCAGCAAAGTACTTAGGCTATCATGATTATATAAGAATATTAATAAGTGTACATCAGCTGATGCTGTTATGCCTTCAAATTAATTTATGATCCTTTTCCTAGATATTATAGTAGTCAGAAAGATCTGTGTTTTATGGTGTGGATAGAGGGATTATGAATTCTTTTCTTTGTTACTAAAGAACTTGTATTCAGTCACATCTCTATTCTCTTGGTTGCCTCATTAGAATAAGAGTATAAACTAAGTTTCTAGGCAACCATGCTTGTGATACAATGACTTAATTGGTAAATGACATCTGCACTAAGTAATTCTGAATGCCCTATAAATATATGATGGAGACAGTGTGGCTTAGGGATTTCTCTTTAACAGTTATGATATCTGGGGACTCAAGTTTATGTCCTCTGAGTGGTTGTAAGAGGTCATGACTCCTGTGAGGCAGCAGATATTTAAGCCATCGTACCTTCAACACTTGTCCCATATTAATCTTGTTTCCTGGCACCTGTTATGTAGGAAGAACATATATCTTAGTGAGCCTTCTGAATGCTTCATGCATTGCTATGAGGACTAGTCCCTTAAGGAGGGAAACTCTGCTCTATTAGGGCAGACTTTGGTTTCTGCTGTCTGTGTCTTAGTGTACTCAGTGTGATCAGCACAGGGGAGTCTGGATGTTTAGCAGAGCCTAGCAAAGACATCCTAGTAGTAGCTTGCTAGATATTCCTGCATTTTTACCCTTAGGATATGATACCACTTTCCTTCTCCATGTTTAACTTACTTTGCTTTTGCTTGACTCGTTCTGCCTAGCTCTTTTTTCCCCCTGTGCTTCTTCCTTCCCTATTGATCCTTAGTATTTTACTCTGGGATTTATTGATATAACTAAACTGCTCATCCTGGCCAGGTGGCCAGAAAGGAATATCAATCTAGATGCCACGGACTGAGAGCCATCAAAAGAAGGTGATGTGCCACCCTGCTTTTCACTTGCTAGTACCTTTCCAGGGAAATATGAAAGCACATTGACTAGGAAGGAAGCATGGCAGAGCCATTTCCTATAGTTCAAGGCTTTACTCAAGCACAGGTGAAAGCCTGTCTTAACTCACTAAGCCACAAGAAAATGCTTTAGAATAATAATGATTTTTTTGGAAATGAAAACAAGATTATCACTCTTCTATGTTAGCCTCCTTTATTTTGGCAAAGAAAACACACATCTGTCTCTGTCCTTTATTCACCAGAACTTATGAAAGTTGAATGTAAGAACATATTCAAAGACTTATGATTGGCTAACATCTAAAATGAGTTAGATTATACTCTCTCTCTCTCTCTCTCTCTCTCTCTGTGTGTGTGTGTGTGTGTGTGTGTGTGTGTGTGTGTGTGTGTGTGTGTGTGTGTGTGTGTGAGCACATGTGCAGGTAGAGTCTGAAAGATACCTTCATGTGTTCTTCGGAAGCACTGCCCACTTCATTTGATATAAGGTCTGTCATTGTCCTTGGAACTTACCAAGAGTAGGCTGGCTGGCCAGTGAGCCACAGGTATCATCCTGTCTCTGTCTTCCCTGTACTGGGATTACAAGTGAGCAGCACTACACCTGGCATTTTTATGTGTATTATTTCCATAGCAGATAATTTTCTGAGCCCCCTGAAAGCTGATACTTTTCTCTTGAGCTGTGAGGGAACTATGTGTAGAATTGAAGACTGCTTTGAAATATGGGTGAATGTTTTTAAAACTGAGTATTTGATAGCTACAATAAGAAAATTGTACTTAGAGAATACATTTAACATTTGTTACTCCTTAACATGGGATGTTGTACTATCAACAATGTAACAAAACAAATAGCTCTATAGGACCACAGTTTCACAAATGCATAATTTATTTCAGTTTCTTCCTTTCTTTACTTTTAGCCATCGTCTAGAGTATTTCAAGCCTTTCAGTTTTAACACACTGCTTGAAGAAGAATGGAAGCAGCCAGAATCAGACTTGTGGATAATAGAGAAACCTGATACGTAGGAGTAAAGTAGATAACCAACCATGTCAATCATTTATCCTCTGTACCTTTTCCAATAAGATATGTAAACACATTTCGACAATGAACATTTTAACAGAAGCCATTGAAATGTACCGCTATAGCAAATTGTTTATGATTAACAAAGAAATAAAAAGTATGTGTAACATAAATTAATTTTTACTTAAATACCCTGTCCATCCTTGAAATTAATGAGATGGCCTATATCTGCTAAGACCTCAAGATAGAAGAGTTATTTAACTAGATATTTTTACTGTATTGGAAGAAATAAAATAGTCTTGAATTCTGGAAATAGAGTTGTTCCTTTTACTTAAAGATATGTAATAATGCTTTTAACCAAGATATCAGAAACCTTCATTTGATTTTTGAAGTATCAAACATTCCTGGTTGAAGATAGACTTAAATATAATAAATCAATAGCCTTTCTCAGATAAATGGATCATGCAGACAAAAATGTCAACACAAGAAGCCTCAGAGTGAAACTACAACACAGATCAAATATACACAGCTGCAGAGTCTTCCACCACCAGCTGCAGAATGAACTTTATTTTCAGGAGCTCATGGAACACTTTGCAGAATAAGACATGTTCATTGCAGTTCAGATGGTTGCAGCTGCTTGGGTTATCTATGCCAGAAGACTTTTAGATCTGATAAACCAATTCAGCCAAGTGGCACACAGCACAGTCAGCATACATGCAGAATAATAGTATTTCCAACCGCCAATAACCAACCACTGAGAAAGAAATCAGGAAAGCAATCTCATTCACAGCAAAAAGGATATCTAGGAATAAGCCTTGTGCATGAGTTACTTTTCTCATTGTAGTTACAAGGTAATTGACAAAAGCAACTGTGAAGGGAGGATATAGTCCATCATGATGAGGAACCTATGGCAAGAAGAATGTGAGGTGACTGGTCACATTGTGTCTGTAGTCAGAAAACAGTAAAATAGCTATCCTCAAAAAAAAGAACAAATGCTGGTGAAGGTAAGGAGGAAAAGGAGCCCTTGGCCGCTAATCATGGGGATGTATATTTGTCCCGCGCTACCGTCTCGCCAGCAAGAATGACGTGGCACACTCAGGATCCTTCTGCAGTAAAGCTTTAATGCATCTTGAGAGGGAGAGCATAAGCTTACAGAGCGGAGACCCCAAACATCCTAAACCCAACCCTTATATAGGTTTACAACCTTCGCCTCGGACGTGTCACCTCCTGATTGGCTGCAGTCCATCGGCCCATATGACGCCATGGGAGAGGCAGAGGCCAAGGGAGGGAAAATCACCCTGCACCTGCGCACTGACTTGTTTTCTCTCAACGCCAGCCGGATGCAGGCGCTATCTTGTAATGGAGAATGCTGGGACGGCTCCCTACATATATTAGTCTTGTCAACTGTGGAAATCAGTATGGAGATTCAGAAAAATTGGAAATAGCGTTATCATATGATCCAGCTCTACAAAGTCTGAGCGCATCCACCAGGGAATCCAAATCAGCATAATGCAGAGACACCTGCATAGCTGTATTCATCATAGTATCAAGCTATGGCATCAGTCTAACTATCTGTTGACTGGTGAATGGATAAAGAAAACACACACACACATACAGAGAAAGAGAGACAGACAAACAGACAGAAGTGACATACCATTTGGCCATAGGAAGAATAAAATCATGTCATTTTCAGGAACATGGAAGAAAATTAAGTCAGACTCTTATTTTTCTTCATCTATGAAAGTTAAAGAAAACAAAACATCTGAATATAGGACAGTAGGTTATTAGAAATGTGGAAGAGGATTTGAGGAGAGGGGAGGGATGGGGAAAAGATGTGGTGGGAAATAAAAATGTCCACAGTTGTATGCATGTAAAAGTCTACCAAAGTAAAATCCAATATCCTGTGTAATTAATACATACAAATATAAAAGTTTAGAACTCTCAAATTTTGTATTGTGTTTCAGAGTTTGCCTTCTAATAGAGTTGTGAACTTTCACATCATACTTATCCCTTTTCAATATCATTAGCTCAGAGGCCAGGCTCACAGAAGGTAAAGTTTATCACTTGCACACTTTTTTGCCTATAAACAGTATAGTTTCCCCCATCTCCTCCCATTAAAAAAAGATTGTTTGTGTGTTTGTTTGTTTGCTTGTTTGCTGCTATTGTTTACATGCATGCAGAAGACCAGGAGAGGCCCTGGGATACCCACAGCTGGAGTGACAAGCAGTTGTGAGCTGCCTGATGACATAGTGTTGGGAATTGAACTCGGGTCCTTTATAAGACCAGCAAGTGCTCTTAACCACTTTTCCATTTCTCCAACCCCATCTTCTTTAATAACAGAAGTTGAAACTTTAGAGGCTTTTCTTGGAAATGTTATTTCCATAAAAACAAAGCACCTCTGTATTTTCCCAGTTTTTCTTTGCAGGTAATATGACCGTGGAATGGTTTGTGTCATGTGCTGTAAACAACATTTGATTAGCAGCAGACTGCTGGTGCTGCTTTCGTGAAGCTCTAGTTGAGCTGAAATGTGATATTTTCTAGTGATTACATAGCCATTGTAGTATTATGGCACAATGTACTATATGTTTGTGGTAACATTTACACAAAGAAACCTACTGAGCTGCCGGTTGTATCAAATATAACAACACAAAATGTTATACGCATTTTGTACAGCACAAAATGCTTGACAATGATGATAAATGATTCTGTGACTTGTTTATGAATTTTGTATAATGTACTTTTATCATCACTTTGGAGCATATTCCTTCTTATTAAATTTTTTATGATAGAATAATATGCTTTGTTATGCAAGCAACAGCTTTAAACCCCTAATTTGTAGGGCATTTCTTGGTAGCATCAATAGGTCCCATCAAATAATACTATCTGAATTTATATGTGTACACTATAAACTTGTACTTGAGATAGAAGTCAAATATGGACGTGTCTTGAGAAAATGTTTATGCTATTACATAACATGAGACTGTATTTGGTCTTAGATGGGGCTTGAAGAAAGTTATTTCAATCTGGGGCTATACCTCAGTGGTAGATTTTATAGCTAGTATGTGCAAGATCTTCATTTCTGTTCCCAGCATGTTAAAAAGAAAAGTGTTGAAAGAAAAAAGCTTTTATAAAAGCTAACTCAGTACTTTTTATTCTTGGGCCTTCAGCTGGTTGTCTATAAATTTACACAGTATTTGTGACACTATGGAGACAACCCAGGGAGAGTTTCGTCAGAAGCCAGAGGAAGCACAGTAGTGGTATATATCAAGGCTGGAGTGCCTACCAGTAGACTTGTTGTTACATGGAGAAAATTTGTCTAATATGTTCACAAAACTAAAAAAAAAAAAAAAAAAAAAAAAAACCAATCTGTTTCTATCATATTTAGCCAAATAATATTTCTAACTTCGAGTTAGATAGAAAATGTAAGTTGGGTTCTCTTCCTCAAGTCACAGTTTCACTAACTCTCTCTTATTTAACATTGTATGAGACATTCTAGCCAGTTCAGTGAAGGGATGATACAGGAATACAAGACAGGTAGGAAATGAGTTAAAATATTTTCAAATGTAGAATTTACATTTAAATAATCATACTTTAAGAGCTGGGGATGTGGCTCAGTAGAGAACACTTATCCATCATGTCAGAAAGCTCTGAGTTTAATTTCTAGCACTCTAGTAACATATAATTAATAATAACTAAAATCAGTGCCTGGAGGGGTGGCTCAATAGTTACGAAAACTTGCTGCTCTTGCAGAGAACCCCAGTTCAGCTCCCAGTACACACTTGGTGGCTTACATCATCCTAGAGATCGGATCCCTTTTTCTGGCCTCAGAGAGTATCAGGTCTACACATATATATGTGCAGGCAAAACATTAATACACAAAATATTATTTCAGAAAAACGATTATAGTTCATAGAAAAACTGAGGTATTTACAACAGATTTCTGTAAATGAAAGGAATCTAGCCAATTTGTATCAACACATGGTCAATATATGAGTATATATTGTATTTTTGTCTAGTATAAACAATTCAGAGTTCAAAAGTACTTATCATACAATCAGAATATGAAACATCCTAAGACTAAGTTTAATCAAAATTTACAGAATCTCTATAGTGATTAGAATCAATATTATTAAATTTTATTTTAGTTGATTTATACCAATCCCAGTGAGAAATTGCTAAAGATTTTTGTGTTGCCTGTTGGTGAAAAGAGGGGAACTGACAAATGGATTCAAAAATGGCAATAAAGAGGGGTTAAAATTGACTTAGATAATTCTGAAAAAGAACAGAGTTGGAGGATTTATATTTGTAATAGGAATTAATAAAAGATACAGAGACTGATATTGGGGTTCAAGCTGAAGATCATGGAAGCAAAACAGCCAAGCTACTAGAGAGCTCTTACCTGTGACAAGGCTGGGGTGTTCCTATTTTCAATGTGGCTGGAGAATGAATGCCTGATGACTACTGAAAACCCTGCTCCTTTCTTTTATAACCCTGTAGTGCTTTGATTAAAGGCATATGGTTCCAGGGGGCTGAAATCATCTTTGTGTGAACTGTTTTTCTTTAGTACTGTATCAGTCTTTATAGATCCAGGTGGCCTTGGACTCACAGAGATCCATCTACCTCTCAATCTTAAATCCTAGGATTAAAGGTATGTACCACCACCTCCTAACTTCTGACTCCTGGGCCTAAAGGTGTGTGCCTGGCTTCTGTGACTTGTGGATTTCTGAACCTTAGGCAAGCTTTAATAAATCATAAATAATACATCACTACATATATCACCACATTTCAACACCTTTTATTAAGCTTTGGTCATGAACACAGAATGACATTAAATTTATACCAATATACCAGTAAAATAAGAAATGTCATATTGTGCCCAAACTGAACTCCAGAATCACCGAGAGACCTAATCCAATGCAAAAGCAAAGAGTCTTTAATTTTATGAGTTAACTCGGTTCCCTGACTCAGTAGGTGAAGTAGATGGGAAACTCCAGCAGCAATGGGGCAGGGAGGAATAGATTGGTGTAGAGTAA